CATAAATACGGCCCTCCGGGCGGACCTGGCCACGCCACGCGATACATTCGCGTAGACCTCATTACCTGAGCACACGAATAGGGTATGGGATAATTTGGATGAGTAGGGTACATAATACAACGTTTAAATATATGGCCATATATGGCCATACAGTATATATTTGCAGGTTCGAATACAAATGAGCATGGGCCAATGCTCGCGACCAGCAATAGAGGCGGCACGGATTCGATTTCATGCGTTTCTCCACGCATGGCGTGGCACCGGCGTTGACGAGCTTGCGCGGCTGCTTGAGCCCGCACAGGCGGATTATTAACGCCGGCTTGTTCTCCAGCGCGCGGGTGCCCACAACGCGTCCCACGATCCCACGATTTCACGAGCGCGAGCGTGCTGTTCTGCACAAATCGATGCTCGGCGTAGTCCTCCATGAAACGCGGCGGCGGCCGCGCGCACGCGCGTATGGCTTGGCTTGAACACGATGAAGTACGTATTCTTCTCAGCCGCGGCCGGTGGCAGCTTGTGTAGCGCAGGCTTGTGAAAGGTGAGTTTGAGCAGGGGTTTGGCGGGGCCTGTGGTGTCGTCGCCGCCGAGATATTGGTGGATGTAGAGGACTGGGGCGAAGGAGAAGGCGATCCCGGCAAGCGCGGGTGCGACGACAACATGCGGTGGTCGCAAGCTAGTCTGGCGGGGACGAGACCAGAGCGCAGAACTGCCTGTGAGAGCATAAACACGGGGATCGATGAGTACGAGGACTAAGTCGACGTTGATCATTGTAACCTTACCGCCGAGCACTGTAAAAACAGCGTATCGCCGCCAGCAGCGGCAGCGCGGCATAGGTAGACTTGGGCCAACGCAAATCAGCGTAGACAGCACAGGATCGTTTGCTAGCGTAGATTCGGTAGCTCCCGAGGCCCAGTATGTTGCACAGAGTAGCGCCACGAATGATATGCCAGCGCGGAAGGCTTTGAAGTAAGCGCGGACCCAGATGGACGAGAGGGTGTGTCGAGGCGACGCAGCCAGATATCCTGGTATAGAAAGTAAGCGTCAATGAGCGACTTAAGAGGCTAGAGTAAAGCGACAAACGGGGGATTCGCTGAGCGGTTGCGGAGGTCGTAAGTCTTAGTATCTATCCGATGAGGTCGGGATCCCGTTGTACATGCCCGCCGCTTTCACTACACTACATGATCGTATGCCTACTCCTGCGGAATGAAAGTATCGGCGTCCCAGCCGTACAGTCTTCCCAACTTGGTCGCCAGGCTATTGGAGCGAAACATTAGCACAAATCGCGCCTTTGTGAATGACTGCAAGCAGCCGGCGTACCGGCCCTTTACATCGCGCGTAATGACCCCTTTCTTCTTCCCGTGCGGCTGTAATCACCGTTAGCGAGGACTTGCCGTGCGCAAGCGCGTGCATACCTCGTCGCAGGGCAGCGGAGGGCCAGGCGATTTGGGCCGGAACTGCCGTTTGGACCCCTTGAGCGAGTGATATGTGAACCCGAGTTTGGTCATTGCCTGTAAACGAACATCAGAAAGCGTCCAAAGCTGCACTGACCGCGCTGTACGACTTTAACAAAGTCGCCCCAGGCCAGTGTGCCTTTCTTGTCGCGTCCAATCGAGAATATGCTGGCGAATACCTAAACCGGATGGTCAGCCGTGTGTCTGCCCGAGTATGCCGTATACGCTTACTTCGTAGGTCTCACCGTCGACTTCCATGCTGGACGAGGTGGTCGAAGTTGGCGGTGGTGGTCGAGAGTCAAGGCAACTGCGAGTGAGATGATCGAATGTCGTGGTGGTCGAGGGTCAAGAGGTTCGCGAGCGTCCGAGTGTGGTCAGGCCGAGCTATAGCCGTGAGCGAGAGGTAGATGGTAGAGTGAGAGGTGGGCGGTAAGCGGCAGAACTGCGAGTGCGCAGGGAGCAGTATAAGTCCGAGTGAAAGGTTGCGGGCCGTAGAAGTGCGCCCGAGCTGCGCGGGTGGACTCGCGTACCTAGAATGTCGTTGTGAGAGGGCGTGGTCGTATCGGCCTTAGCACGTGTTGGAGGGGTTCCTACTTCGAGTCGTGGTCGAGGAGGGGAGCAGGATAGGCAGGCTGTATCGTTTAAAACACGTACCTGTAGTCTTCGTGGGGTATGTAGTGCATTAAATGACGTTTAGGAGTCGTTCCTCTTGATATTCGACGAGTTTGCTTAATTGTGTCCCGGTAGCCAGCCGGCAACAAACCGGTAGCATTGAAAGCTACCGCGTCGTATCCCGTTCTCGAGGCCATGGTCAAGCCCGTGTACTGGTACATTATCTGGCGGGGTCAGTAGCTTGAGTCAGTACTGCTTAACGAACGATGTGATGGAGGATATAGGGCGTACTACTTGTGTTACCGGGTGGCATTAGTGCAGCAGGAGTAATAACCGCCATAACCGCCATGAGGGCGCTTGAAAGCAGGTGAGCAGGCTCATGCATCGAGTTGCATATCAGCTATGACGAGACATATATACGTACACAGTGACATGGGATAGACTGAAGGAGCCCTATAACTTTGAGGCAACGGCCAACGACGAGATTGGCATTTTTTGCACCTCAAGCGCGTCGTTTGAAGGCCACGCATGTTTGGGGCGATAGTTACGTAAGGTGCACGATATAAAGAAGGGATAACGTGGGGCAGACACGTACCCGCACCTCTCCATACCACTCACCGGGCAGATGCAGACAACCTTCGTCGAGATGTCCCTCGTCGCCGTCCTCGATCCGCCTATGCCGTCTTGTGCGGTATGCGAGCTACCCAGCATGCTTAGATGCGCGTACTGCAACTCCGGACCTGCATACTGTTCGAGTAGTCATTTCCGTGAGGTGAGTATGTCCTTCACTTATACCTTTTTTGTAATTGCTCAGCACAATCGTCGCCCTCAGCATTGGGTTACCCACGCAGTCGTATGCGACGGGTCCGCGATCCACCCAGATTCGCTCGCAGCGGTTGCTCGAGCGACAGACGCCCCTACACCAGGCGCTACGACCCCTGTCGTCGCGGACACGGTGTCATCCGGGGTCACAGACGCCGAGTCGTATGAGGTCATGGACACCGCGACACACAGATCGACGAACACCACGCTGCGCGAGGTCGCAGACCCGCCTCAGTACCAGGTCACCGACCCCGCACAGCACCAGTTCGCGTACGCAGCGCATGGCCAATACACGGACTCCGCGCCATATACGCTCTCGGTATCTATGGGACAGGTAGTGGGATGTTATCTGGGGGCCTATGCAAGTACGTGTCATTAGTAACTATATAGTGCATCCACCTTGACATAGACTCCACGCAGCGGTGCCTACCTTTGTATACGTACGGTGCTGTAATGCGGCCTTCGATGGAGTGACGCCGCGCACGTATCCGGACCTGTCGGCCTACTTTCAGTACGGCTATGGCAGTCTGGTCATGCACTTCGACGCCCAGCAAGCGCCATTACCGCAGCCGCTGCACTTCATCTACTGTGCGCGGTCGTATGTGGAGAGGAGGTTCCTGAACCAGTCGGTGAGGATGCTCGTGAGTAGCCGCGGTCATGATGCCCCGCGGAGTTGGAAGAATTGGCCGGGCTCGTTGATCGTTTTCAAGTACAAGGACGATAGCTGTACTGTTTATGAGGACCTGACGCAGATGGATTTAGTATACGTACGTTCATTCTTCGAGATGTTTGGCTCGGTTCCTTGACCATGGCATCACGAAGGTAGCGATCTTGCATGTAGATGGACGCGACGTATGAGTGTCTGTGGTAGAACAATCAGAAGACATAACAAATTAATTCATGCACACACTTGCTGTCATCTTACAGAAGTACACACACATACGTGATGATGAGGAGACGAGCCGCTTACGATGAGACCGGACAGACAACACCGGGGTGGAGATGTTGCACATATTCAGAAGCGCCCCAGCAGATAGATTATGCGTACGTGACAGCGTGCTCCTAACCTAAACACGAATGGAAACCGCACGGATAGGAAGTCTGTTCGAGGGTATGCAAAGGCAGCGGGAAAGCAGCAGCGCGGCGCATCTTCAAGTTGTCATCTGGGCGCACAAAAAAAGTGAGCATTTTAACCCTGGATGCGCCACGAAAGTCCACTCACGGCGTCATATGGGCGGATACATCGAATTAAAATCCCCATTCTAATGGGTCAGTCTGCCGTATGCCATACGCGACTTCGTTGCGGACGTCAAGCAGATGCCGTAGTGATATCTAGGAAATCAACCAAGCCAGCGGACATTCCACGCAGCGTGCGGTAGAATACTCACTATATCATTGCATGCAACCCAATCAGAAACGATGTGCCGCTTAGTTGAACGGGCCGATAAAGTGCAGCGTGTCAGCTTTATGTTTACGGAGCGCGCGCATACGCTCACCGCTTCGCCGTTCATCTGTGTGGCTTGGGGCTTACGTTCAGTTGTTGCTCGATGCGATCGTAAAGCACGCACGTAGCGCGGCACTCTGTGCAGACTGAGGATGCCGTCTCCCGTACGTGCGAACCCGATGCGGAGGATACCTTTCCATGGGACGGTCCAGGCGGCGAAAAGCTGCGCGTCGTATGCGGGACTATATTAAAAGCCTGACGGTCTGACAGATGCAAACAGTCCGTCGGGTACGCGCACATGGCACGATTTATGAGCGCTGCGGTATTATAGCTTCTGGCAACTCACCGAGGTGGGTACGATTGTGCGACGCAAGCCGGCCCCGCGAAGACGCCCCATGCGAGCCGTTGTTGTGCACGGGGTCTTGTATCCGACTGTGTATGATGAGCGATGGGCGGATATGGTATATGAGAAGCAAGGGAGAGACATACGGGCATCGAGGATGTAGAGAAGTGAATGGCATCCGAAGAGCGCGAGTAGTACAGCGCACGTAGCAGCGATGCCTGCAGAGTCTAATTCTCACGAACACGTGGATGCATCGCCTTGCCTGCAGTGTTCCCCGTTGCCTGAAGCGCCGAAGGATAGAGCATCTCTTCTCGTTCGCCATCCTCATAATCCTGAGACCTGTGAACCTGCCCATCTCCCTTGTCATGATCACACCATGCTGACGCACTTTGAGCTGCTAGGGTATATCGTCTGTTTGTATTATACCATCGATATAAGACTAACAGCGACGCGTTTCAGATTGCCCATAGAGATGATTCGAGTGATCGTGAACAAGTGCGACCTAGCCACCCTGCTCGCCTTGCGAAGAACTTGCGTAGCTCTATACACAAAATCGCATGAAATCCTCATGTCGGATCGCCAGAGGTTGCTACAACGGTACGTAGAACGCCAAGACGTTCTCTGGCAGCATCTGGACGACGCGCGCGCCGTTGTGGGTGGATTCGCCGCACTGGGCTTCATGCTCCGCGACCACGACGCATGCGGTCATACGCTGGACATATATGCATCGTCGAATCAAGGCAGGCTGCTCGAACAGGTGCTCGAGGAAGACCCCGATCTGGACCTCTCCGTGGTGCAAGTGCAGAGACTCGAAGATGACTACCGACAAATCAGACGCCACGTCTCTCGTACTGTAACGTTCGCCACCAAGAACGGATGCTTCATCAAACTACACATCTCCCTATCCCTTTCGACATACGACCCTATCGCCACCTCACTCACCAGTGCCCTAATTAACTGGGTGTCGCCCCACGCGTTCGCGTGCGGGTATCCTGTGCTCACGCTCGCGCGTCGAGGACTCGCCCTGTTAGATGGGGATCCCGGGTCGATGGAGGACCATCTCGCAGCAAGTCTCCGCGACATTGGGTTCGATGTCCGACCTGACCCGACAACGTGGCCTCAATACGCCGCTATCGCTCCCCCTTCACGGCGCTCGTGGCAATTCGCGTGCATGCGCATGTGGTATGTTTGTCCCCATCAAGGTCGTTTCTTCGGAGACGAGGGGTCGCTTCTCACAGTCTTCGACTTGCTCGGAGTCAACCACAACGACCTGAAGCGTCAACGTCGGTCTCCTTACGGCATCGGAGTAGCTTGGCGCATCTCCATTCCCTATATGCCGTGCGACGGGCCTTGCACCCTATACGACCCCCTACTCCCGGAAGAAGTGCTAACCTTGCCGGCTGTGTTTATAGACCAGGGAGTTGAGCTGCGCATTGCGCATGTAGAGTACAGCATGTAATCCTGGCCTCCTCCCACGACGTCAAGGGTAGCGGCCGGAATCGCTAATATCTGCTGGTCATCAACGACGCTAACGCGCGGCTAACGAGCTTCTACACGGTATCAAGGACTGTAAGTATCAATTCGAACAATTCCTGCTGCGGAGCTTTCTCGCCCTCATGCGGTATTGCCGCCGTCTGGGCGTCTGCCTCGCCCCGCGGCTCCGCCTGCATCTCCTCGATCACACCTGGGGGTCGCCTGGCGCCGAGTCAGCACTTCTATCAGCAAACCGGCCTCGACTTTACTACCGTCGAACTCTTTTCGATGACCCGCAGCGGTGGCTCTTCCGTGGCCAAGAAAGACGCTCTTCGAATCGGGCTAGTAGCACACGCAAGTCAACGAGCCTCACCTGCACCATGTTGTCACCCCGTCCGCAGCTCTCTCTCATGCCTCTCCCGCAAATGCACCTTTAAAGTGCACGTAATCCGGTGGTGGTAAGTAGCGCAGTGAGCACTCTAACAACTCGCTATTGAATACTCAAGCGCGTCATCTGATCTCGAATCTCCCCGCGCCAGCTTTCAGGTATTCAAAGTCCAAAATGGCGGCTTCAGTCCTATTGGCCGCGGACGGTCCAGGGAGTGACCTGAATGGGGCACGCCCTGAGCCCGACCGCACAAGGAATACGCGCGCAGAGGACTACGCTATCCCGCCAAATTCCCTGAAACATGCTAACCCGCCTGCCAAAGACATAGACAGGGACGCTACGCTATACGCAAAATCTGAGCTCTGCGAGGCTCATCCAAATGCAGAGGTGAATATATGTTGGCAAGGGCGTCGAGGGCCCAAGAGTGCGTGGGCAAGGTAGACTTCGATCGGCGCTGGGCTTCATAAGGTTCATGGTGAGTAAGAATGCCGTGCCCGTGTCCATTCTACTAAACCGTTTAGTGTTGTTGTATCCGACGACCATGGGATGAACTTGTACGTGTTGATAGGTATACAGTACGGTGATAAAAGTTTGCTATATCTATCATATACATGTACGCCGGCCCGCGCGGAAACAAGACCACGATCGCGTGAGGATGGCCGTGATACCACATGCTGTTCGACAGGCTGGCGGAATACCAAAGGTAGCTCGTTACGACAGCTGCGAGGGAGAGAGGTCGTTTCAGCGACACCCGACGACGACACGCAGCACGAGGGTATAAACCTGCGAGAGGCGAGCGGGGTTGATTGAGACACACCCGCACTCGCGAGAATCATCCTGACGGCAGGGGAGACGGGACGGGATGGAGACCTTCTGCATTAGAGGAACACGACGCTGTCGTACGGATTGCACGATGCGCCGAGAGTCGGATGCGGAACGCGCGCAGAGTAAGACCAGTCACGTATGTCCCTGACCATGGCTGTCGGTAGTAGTCGTGACAGACGCAAGGAGTAGGCGGTGCGACCGCGTGAGCGCGAGCGACCGCGGCCTCGCGAGGGAAGGTGACAGGAACGGAACACAAGCATCGACATTTGCCGAAGACGACAAAGCAGACGAACACGGAGAAACGCAAGAGGCGAGCGGCGGGGAGATATCGGTGTCGTCGTGTACAGGCATGGCGAGGTAGTGCATGTTGTACTGATGCAGTCCGTCGCGCAAGAGGAGGATTGACGTCTGTAGGAGACCAGGGACAGTGCATACACACTGCCGTGCTGGGTGGCACTCGGTTGAGTTCACATCGTAGACAGATGTGCCTGTGTCTAACTCGTGCGAGTGAGCCGCTGGTGAGAGTTTCAAATGGCAACACACCTTGACCTTGCATATACGGCGTTTCCTATGCATCCTTACATAGACGAGAACGGACGGGATGAAGTAGCCGGAAAACGAGAAGGTGAGAGGTGAGAGACGTGCAGCATAGAGCGCGACCTTCCTAGGATCAAAATCGGGGCGGCGCCGTCCCAGAGAGCGCGCGAGTGAGACATATGTTGATGCAACAAGAGAGCGGCTGCGCAGGAGAATGAGCGACGATAGAGCAGTAGTTGGTTGGCGAGCCTTAAGCCAGGAGCAAGAAGGGTAGAACTTGAAAGAAGGAAAGACCAGCTGTCGGGACTGTGGCAGACACCACGCTCGTCATCGGCAGTCGCCGATATTGAGCGTCGATTTATTAAGGGCAGGCCCAAGGCTCAAGGCGACCTCCCTGTGTCGCGTTGAAATCGCTTCAACCTGTACTATTACTACGAGCCTCATATAACTGCAGACATCCTACCTAGGTACCGCACTCCGACGTACACGCCAACAACGAGCCATCAGCAACGAGATCGAGACGTTCATGTGTCGCTCCGCTTGTTTCAAGAACCGTTCATGAAGGCGAGATACTGGCCGGTACGCATATTCGCAGCAACTACTTGTCCTGGAACCCTACATCTTACTTTGATCCACGCAGACTCCGCGTGCTCATGCGATACGATACACGACGATGTCGTCAGTAACGTGCCCACCGCCCACCACATCGTATACAACAAACCGGAGAGGTGGATCAAGCACGAAACACATCGGCTTCGACGTTTCACGACGCACGCGACGGCATTGGAACGGAAGGCGGCCTCGTGCGTGCTTTTTACGCTAACAGTCGGCCAGATGTCCACCACGAAACATGCCATGTCTCACGCGACTGGAGGAAATCACTTAGGCTATGCTGGTAACGCCGCATGGGCATGGGCAGTACGACGCAGCATGCATGAGAATAACGAGGATATAAAGGTGCGCCATTGACTGCGCGTGCACGATTATCCAGACCACTCATTGGACGTCCGACATAGTCCACCTACCCAAACTCATCTCAATGACGCCATCCACCCTACCGGCGCACATGCCAATATGCATAACCAGGCAAGCACTGTCGACGCACACGTGTCCTCCATAACTGACCGCGTCTTGAACAGACTACCTGCAGAACTCAATGGCATGATAGCCGACAACATGGATATACCGACCGCCGTTGTGTGGCGACAGACATGTCAAGAAAACTACGCTCACGTCACATCGAGCTTCCGTCGAACCAGGAATGCCATCGTTCGTAAGTTCTTGACATCTACCTCCGCATTTCTCGCTGCGCTCGGCGAACACAATTGTGTGCTGGGAGGAAATTCCGCCCTATCGTTTGTCTTGCGAACAGATGACATACCGGTTGATGTATTAGATGTGTATGTTCCGTCCACGAAGTATGCGGTGTTCATTGACCGTATCATAACGGACGAGCAGTTCACCCGTGAAATCACGAGTAGCAGCGAGACCACGTTCGACGAGGACTTTGCACATGCCCGACAAGTCGTCGCATCGACCGAGATAGTGCTTTCAAACGGACGTACCGTGGTCATATGGAAGTCAATGACATGCAGCCCATGCCTGCCTATCGCTAAAGCGACGAACACAGTATACATGAACTACGTGAACAACGTGGCGTTTGGATGTGCATATCCCCGCTTGACATTTTCCCGGCGCGGTATAGTATGCAATCTAACCAGAGAGCCCGCGCTGACTGCTCGCGAAGTATCATCGTCTGATAGATTGAAGCGGCTGGGGTTTAGTTTCGCGTATACGCCGTTTCAGTGGCCAGAATACAGCGCAGTCCGATGGCGGCCCGCCTACCCCGGCTTCTATCCGTGCTTCAGTCATGTTTACATCTGTCCATCGCAGGAACGCTACTTCGGTGACCCGGGGTCCATGACGGTCTTCACAGACCCACTCTCGACACACTCGTCAGACGTGCGGCGTCGCGGCCAAGCCCCATACGGTGTCATGGCTGCATGGCGTCTGGTCAGCAGCTTCATGTGCAGTAACGTCACATGTTTCGCCGCACGAGGTATACTGCCTGAATACACATGGGCAATGCCAGTCGTGATGGTCAAATCTGCGTTCTATCTATACAGGAGACCTCGTCGACAGTCGCCAGTTGACCAGACGCGAGCAGATACAGCTATAGAGACGCGCGCGATACGATCCATGTCCGTTTGAAGGTATGATTTGATAGAACGCTAAATTTCGTATCACAATATATTATTCTACGCGGCAGCGCCGCTTCTCACACAGGAACACGCCCGACGCAAGCCGTCCATCCGGTGTCTCCGGAAAGCTGAAACTAAACCGAATGGACAGGCCACGCTGCCTACGACAGGTAGTGCACCGCCCACTAGGGCTACATGATTGCGGCGCACAATGCTCGTGTTGTCGCTGCCTCGTAGCACCAATGTTGACACAATTCACCCAAAACCGACCCGGAACACAGTTGAAACACGCACACCGTGATTCCCGCGGTCCCACGCCAATACCAACGTACTAACGATTCAATGACATACGAATGAAGCTCGTAAGTACGCCACGCCGTTGCAGAGCCAAGACATGACAACTCATATCAACACAGCCATGACACGCACACAGAAGCCTCGAGGAGCGTAAAATGATGACCGGGTTGCTTATTAACTCGCCCACTGCTGCTCATAGCACGTATCTCGCCCTCACCTACAACCATCAAACACATAGAGACCCAACGATGGAGAGAACGAACCTTCCTAGCCCACTTAATACCTCCCGGAGCTTGATGTCGGTCGAGTCGACACAGGACTCGGAGGTCGACACGCTCACAGGTACGCCGGCCAATGCGGATGTTCCCGATGAACCAACCCAACAAGCCCTCGCGGTGTGGCCTCTGACTTGCGGTTTGGATCTCGTAGAACGCGTCATCGGCTTAAACGAAGCGTTCCACACGTTACTGTCGAGGTTCTTCATGGACCCGACTGTCGCACGTGAGCTGTTAGATGATAGCGACGCTGTGATCTGTGGTGAAGGTGCACTAGATGTTATCATGCACGATGGGCCGGGCCCCGTGGACGTACTCGACATTATCGTGATTGAAGAAGAATATGATTTACTTGTATCTCGGCTGATCGAGACAGACGGCGTTTACGAGAAGATACAGAGAGTCCACGATGTTGGCGTAGACTCGGCGACGAAGGTCGAGCGGCATATCACGGCTGTGTCTCGATTTGAGCTAGAAGAAGGTCGACTGATATACCTGCATTGCACAAATACTCTGTCTCCGGTGACGCCTCTCGCGCGAATGCCTTGTACCATAATGATGAACTTCGTGACTGGGCGTGCTGTTGGTTGTGCGTACCCAGGCCTGACGCTCGCACGCCAAAGTGTTATATGTGACCGCATTCCGGTGTCCACGGTGCTACAGCATGAAAAGGAGGCCATACGGCGACTGAAGGAGCGCGGCATTACATTCACGTTCCCGCGATCGCGGTGCGCAGATCGCGAGCGGGTACGGGTCTCTGACGGCCAGCTCGAGCCCACGGACAAAGAAGAAGCATACCTATGCCCGTCAGCAGTGCGTTATTTCGGTGATGCAGACAGCCTACTCGTTTCCGTTGAGCCCGACGCACTTGGGTCGCCGCACGGGGTCAAGGTGCCATATGGGGCCACGGCAATCTTCCGACTACCAGTCAAAACAGAATGCGACGGAGAGCACGTACCGGACGAACAACTGCTGCCTCGCTCGATTGACATGCTCGAGACGGTGATATTAGGAGACACGTATTTCAATTTAACGGATAATAGCGAAAGGAGTTTCGCGGCGGTGTACGCGCGGGGCAGACCCCACGCCCCAAGACGCAGCGCATCAGCGTAGCGGCCTTGGTCCTCCTGAGCGACATATGAGTTGTCAGTCCATATACCGCGGACACGGCCACGATACAACTCACCAATGCGATACGAGACGATCTTTGGCAACACGCGTTTATCGGCGCTATGGCGCCATGTATATAGGAGGTGCCATCCTCGGGATTATGTACCAAAGTGACCGCTACGCTACAATCAATGTCAGACATTAACGAGTGTACCCACAACCCTGACTACGAAGCCAAGGACACGCGTCCGTCGGCGTCCGCAGCACAAGACCCATAAAGTCTTGCGGTCCGGGGAAGAGCTAAAATCAGAGGGTTAAACCTTGAGTAAGCATGCAGACAATCTACTCGTATATTCCACTGAAAATGCACCCTACTAATAACCTCAGCCTGAGGGTAGCCTGTTCGGCTTTCACTGTCGGTGTCCCTCAAACACACCGCGGCGGGTTGCTGCCGGCCGTGGCCGACGGAGAACTGGGTAGACAACGTTAGTTCTACTTGAAACAATTCATATCTCACAGGCTTACCGTCAAAACCATCAGAGACATGGCTGCACGGCACTTGCACGCGAAGAGCGAAGTGGACGGGGGCAAAATCCAAGTTGGTGTCTCCGTATGAAAGTTCGTCATAGCGTTTACATCACAGCAATGACGTCACGACGGCAAAATACAAGCGCTCGTCGGCAGATCCCGTGCGGCACGATGACTGAAGTACTCAACGACTACTTCTTGCACTCGTGAGCCTCCAGCAACGGAGCACACCCAGAGCACAACACACATCGGCGGACAACGAAAGCGACCGTACGAAGACTGGTGCGTATGCCATTCGCCTACGGGATATAGTCGGGAGTGAGTAAACTCTAGCACGTTCGACCGCCTAACGCCAGTGACGCAGTACCGTGATCATCGCCCGAGCCAGCCCTCGGACCAGTATAAGTTTATAAAGCACCTGCTGGCGCCGACGCGAATAACAAGCCACACCCGCCGCGCCGCGGCGTCCGACAGCACAGGCCCAACAGCAACGTACATCCATACAGCGGCCCCGGACGCCCGGCCATGAAGCGTACTCACCGGGAGTTGAATCACGCCGCCGTCGATGCATCGAGTCGGGCGGAGACCTGCTTGCTTATTACCCACCTACTCTCTCAAGTGGAACAAGCTATGTCGTGAGTGCATTTACTTCACACACATGATAAAGTGTTCACGCTCATTAGGAAACTCTTGGCCACGATGCATGGCCAAATATCCACCAAATCGAGAACCCCTGGACAACAGGACTACTGACAGCAGTCACCCGGTCCCACCACAATGTAAGATGTACGTACCTACTACGTATGTCGAAGTATATCCAACGCCACGCCGGCTCATTAACGAAGCTGCTGTCGTGATAGCTAAGGACTCGGATGTCCCACAACAAGGGGATTACCGACTGACCTGTTCTACATACCGCACAAGAAAATGCATGGCTTCACACACTCATCGGGTCCGCTCATGTAACGCAGCCGTAGCATGGGAGACCTCACTTCCATTCAGCGCTCTAGATCACCGCGGCTCCCGCCGGCTCGCACTTGCCGACTATACCGGGCCTCGGCGATTCACAATAATATAGGAGCATGCCGGCGTCCCTTGGGGGCCGGATACCACATCCAAGTAAGGAACAATATAGAGGCCGCGTGCGATCTACCACGCAGAAAGCTGACAGCCCAAATTGACCAACTGATGCATGCAACTCTATGCTCTCCTAGGGCGCTGCTCATGAACACACATCGGTCGCTTCCCAAATCCTTGCAGCCGTCACAGCCAGAGACTATATGCACTCCATGAACACAAATAACTGTTAAGTGTGATCACAAATACCCACGACAGCTCTGCTTAGCGACATCAATTTTTGCCGTACTAGCGCTAACTGCAGTTGAACACCCACCACCACCACCACCACCACCGCTGCCGCTGCTATCATGCCTGTACCAGTAGACGCACTGAAGGATGTACTTGAAGAGTTCAACCCTGCACCCGACACCCCAGACCCATCGTCACCGCCAAACACAACATACTTGGACGAGAGCGAAGCGGGATCCTCCAGGCTCCTTCAGCAATATCGCAGCGACTTGGTATGGTTTGTACCGGCATCCATCGCACCCCTCTGCGGCATATACCCAAGTAATCGCACACAAACGGGTGCAATCCCCGTTTACATCCGCATCCCCCGATACACACCTACAAGCGCGCACACGCCCTGGGTCGTCAGTTCGAGACCGTGTGACCCGCTCGGCCTCGATGACACCATTATCCTCCCGCTCATCGGGGTGGGACGCATCCGCGACGTCGTCTGTCATGACGCCACCTCGTGCCTATTCGAGGTATTTCTTGGCACACCAGGGCCATTACGGCCGGTCTATGTTCAAGTCCCTCGCGAATGGACCCACCATATCCCCGAGGTCACCGTCGTGCAGGAGACACTGCCCACAACCTCGAACGTAGTACGCCGGCAACTCCAGAAGATGAAATCCTGGTTGCGACTGGATATACAACGCGATCACACGAGTGGGGCCGACAGAGTGCATGCTGAGGTACGCCCAATGATGTTTTTAGACCACCATACTGACCCGCTAACCGGACATAAAGTTTTCAGGTGGACACGTTGAAGCACACGTTGGATCAAGCATCAATATCGCTATACGTTGAGCCACATCCCGCTCTCATCTGCACAAGGAGCAATTCAAAAGTACTATGCACGCTGAGGCTGTACGTGACCAAGGTATGTCCTATCAATTTCTACATCAGCATACACCACGAAGATGACTTAATGTATGTACGCCATCGCGTCCGCCAAACAGAACATGAACTTTGTAAATAAACATCCTTGATAGTGTTGCCAGGCCGCTGCTAGCAGTACATGTATCCTGTTCCACGCCTTAAACGGCATAGCTTCAATTACACGTTCCACTCACACGAGCTGCAGAGCCACCGCCCGACGGCTTTCAACATGAGACATATAGACGAAAGTACAAACAACAAGCCAGTCTAATGGGCATTAACTTATCATGCCTCAGGAGTCCAAGCGCTGCACGTATGTGGCTTAAATCAGTAAAAGGATGGGTTCATGTTTGACCAAGATGTCGACAACCTGATCATATATCATAAGTACGTGCTGTTACCATTAATACCACGACGCCGACGAAACTACGTCTATATAAACAGACCAGCGCGAAGCCGCAACGGCCTGAACGTGCACGATATATATATACTTACTACTTACTGCATATGCACGCAGGTACAAGCCACCTAGTACGAGCCGAGAATAACACGACGCTAGATTCAATTAAATATGATCCTGGCCGACTCGGAGCCCCAGGCTTGAGACCCAGCCATCGACCAAGTGAGGTCCGACAGACACGGCACGTCAAATTGGCCATTGGGAGTGTAGGACGGCCGCGCCCACTAGCAACTCCTGTTGTGTTAAAGAAGGATGTTAGAACGGACTTCTAGCATCGCTTCGGAAGGGCCGATGCAGTACGTACCTCTCAAGACCTTGGCGACAACGTGTGATTGAACCGCCCCAGACCGACTCAGATCAAGTTCCAATCTGGCTGGAAAACAGGCCACGGCTGAGTACACATCCCACGCACAGAACAGGGAGACAGGTACGTACAACCTGCCGGCTAGCCCGGCTCGAGCACACTGTCGCCTCTCCTCTTCGTTCACGTCTGGCGTGTGTATGCCCCATCCACGAAGAATACCTCCATGCATAGGCGCCTGAACGCGATGCAAGATATGAAGAGAGAATGTAAATGTTCGTGATGTACCCCGATCACCTCCAGCGCGTGCAGCGTTTTCTTAGAACTCCATCTCGACGACATGCAGACACACCAATGCGGATCGATCGATAAAGTACGCAGAGAAGGAAACCAGTCGGCAAAATCCATCAATATGGCGAGCACAGCCTAGTAAGATACAGCGGTGAGTTCATTAACGATACCGGACGAAGACAACAATACCTACCGTTACGAGATGCAAAGACAAAGTAAGCGGAAACACGACCCTTGCAGAGACTTGTAGCGCAAGATGCTCCAAGACCGGCGCGCATGCGTGCAGGTCACACAATATGTACAGCACGGTTTCCACATTAGCACAGCATGAGAATGACTGCAGCAGCTTCAACGGTCCATCGGGACCACACTCTCGCAAAAAATCGCACAATTCTAAACCACATATCTCGTCATCCAAGACAATAGCCCGGAGGAACCGAAAAGCAGTCATACCGCGCAGCAAACCAAGCGACATGACCTGAACGCCACCCATAAATGGAACGGCCCGGTTACACCTGTCATGCTGTCCTTGTTCCATATGCCACATAGTTAGGACGGGGCACGGCGAGCTCCGTATTACCCCTGCTTGCGCCAAAGCCGCGGACATAGTCGGAACAGAGGCGATACGGATATCGATGTGAAGAAATTGCAGGCCCCAAGCACGCTTCAGCACGGAGCACAACGACGGAATCACATCCTTGTCGAATACGAGGCTCGACCTGGACACATACGACAACGATCTGATAGCGTAAACGGGAGAACGTGTTTTATAATCTGTACACCCCGCCTCGAACCGGGACAGAAGGCAATTCAAACGATGCCGCGCGTCTCGATCGGTAAGACGGACGGTGTGGAACAATATAGTGCAGATTGCTGCGTGAGTCGCGCAGCTCACGCTGCACAATGCACGCAAAGTGTTGATGTCTAGGAACCAACCGACACGCAGGTAGATCTCGAAAGGGAGCTGCAACCGAGTGTAGTGACCCCCCACTCGATGCCTTAGCTGCATAGCGCTACGGAAGGCCCAGACGAATCATTAGCCATACAGACCCACGCACGTACGAAGGATATTACTCACTCAGACAGACGAGGGGGAGCAGCAAGAGGAATGACAGCATCAATGGCACAAGGAGTTAGCATGTCGACGGCGAGGAGTATAGATGATGGAAAAAATGCAGACGGAATTCGATGGCGGGCCATGTTTTGTACAAGACGAAGTATCAATATCCCCAAGACAGCCTCGAGATGCATGGAACCGGTAAGGCATCCCGAACGTGCATAGAACACGCACGCATGCCCTTCACAGTGGACAAAACACATCGGCAACGAGTAATGAAACGGAGACGCCATCCCCGCAACAGGCATCCATAAGAAACAAATACATGATTAGACGAAAAAAGCACGATGTTCGCGCGGAGTGCACGACGACGCGAGGCGCCATATTTGCTCCCCGTTAGAGAATCACGAGGCGTGCTCCTGGAGACCGGTGTCACACTCGTTGGGAGCTAATAAAATTACATACACACTCACCTGGGGTAGTCCACCGTCACCGTGCGGGAAGTGCAGCCATCCACCGGAAGACCAGTTCAGAACGGCTGAAGCGGACGCTCGACCACGCTCGAGTGGAGACATAACATATACGATGGCATCGAGCCCGCAGAAATGATCAGCGTGTGAGGCCCCGACCGCCCGGTATGAACCGGCATCTGATAGAGAAAATCCTCTGGAGAGATACTTCGCAATCGCCCGATGATCGCCGCGATATAAGGGCGGCGACTTGAGGATTGCTTGTCGGCGGAACGTGGCGTCGGGATGCGCACAGACGCATAAGTCGGGCGTCAAGAAGTTGCGAACTAGAGTAGACCAGAAATCAAGCAGCGGCGAAACAGCGCTAGACGTACGACTCCGCACGAGATCAAGCCCGCGGCCGGTTCGGGTGATCAGCCGAACAACATCTTTAACGGCATATCGCATCCCAGTGTCGAGAACGTCGACCATCCGTTCCACGCGCCGCCCAAGGAGGTATTGTCGGGATGCGGCATGGCAACCTAGAGCATCATCTGTGAGTAGGCGTTCGCACATAGCGTCAAAAACAGCATCAGGAACGTATATGTCAATGTCACCTGGCACCCAGCTCTCATCCGACAGGAAAAAATGCAGCGCCACAGAACCGGAGACAACAGCGCGATACTCGCGAAGAACGGCATCTAGCGCGTCTACGTCATCGAAATACGGCTTCATCGCGCGCACATACCGCTTACGCATGCGGACGCAAACATATCGATAATAGGCCTTGCACGTCCGACGCCATACGTGTAGCATGCGGAGGTCAGCCTCATCGATGATGATCAAAACAACATCATCAGGTAAGCTACAAAGCCTTATGGTCAGCTATACAACGAGACCGTGCGATTGGATTGAACGTACAGCGGAAACGCAGACGAGGCGACATACACCATACGAGCTGGAGTGGGGCGTACGCTACCCACGGAACGTGTCAATCCGCCGAGACACGCGCCGACGACATGAGAAGGGGTTGCCGTCGGCGATTGAGGACGAGGTAAGCTCATGTTTGAGATTGTAGCGTGGGGTGGCCAAGTCGAGTTGGGCTACGCTGGGAGTACAGGGCTATATTTCTTAGGCCAGCCAGATAAACCTTTATAGGACAGACGAACAGTACGACGCGGATCATAAACCAATCATAAAACGTCCGGGGCGAGTATCGGAACTGGCATACCTGCGACACGAGCTCGAATAGCGGCATTCGCGTAGCGGAGCGCATGCACGCGGAGAGATGCCCTAGAAGCATCTCAGGATCAGCCAAATATGACACCAAGGCATGCATGCTCGCCTACATGTACGCCTAGCCAAGCCGATACCGGTGCGCTGAAGAACAGTGCGGAAGGTGAGAAAGAACAAGCGGCGAGCAGGAGCAAAAAAAGTGCCTCGGCGGGTGCGGATAGGCGCCGACGGCAAATACCGAGCGAGCTGCTCAGCGCGTGGGCGCCCGAGCGTTGATCAAGACAGACTTAGACCACAACGCACACAGGTACAAAAAGCACACGACACGCTCTACGCGGTATCGATAGACACGACGGACGCGGGACACGGAACATATGCAGCATTTCGCGTAAAGGCTGCTAACCTCAAGCCCATGTGGCTGCAGCATGTAGGACAGAACAAGGGTATGTTCCAGTATTTGTGCCGGCAGTACCTAACGTCAATACCGGTAGTAATGACGCCTAGCATTCGCACATGAAACGCGTACGGCCTGTCGCGATCAATCCACACGCACTCAAAACGTCCCGTACGCATACAGAGAAACGAATGGACACCCGATCGCGTACATGCCCCTCGCAGATGCCGGCATCCCGAGTCAGGCATACACACTCGATGCCACGGCAGTGCAGTCGCCGGAGTTCAAGAACACGACATCCACGAAATACACGCGTTACATGCGCATGGAACGCTTGACAACTCCATCGTACACGCCTACACCAGCCCTGTTTTCACGGAGCCACGTCGCTCGTAACACCACCCAGCCCCCAGACGCCGTTCCGCACGGCATATCACACACCACGTCAAGCTCTAAAGCCGTGTTAAGAACGCTTGCCCACCCCTCATTCATATTCACCCGCACCCCATCGACACTCATCCAGACCCCCTCGACGCTCATCCACACCCCATCGACTCTCATCCGCACCTGTCATGCAGCTCAAACTCCTTCCGGATGGCTCCGTTGCCCCGCAACAGACGTCTGCAAAGCAAACTCATGCGTCTGGTACGGTCACCGTCGAACCGTGAGTCAGTCTCCCACGCGCCACGTTTTCCACGACTGAATATAGCTTTAGGTCGGGCTATGAGACGGACGAGACGATGGCCACGATAGACGAGCGACCGCGCGTGATCAGATCCCACAGTCGCCGCGACACAGCCATTCAGACCGAAGACGATCCGCCTGAGAGCTGTAACCGCAATCTTCAAGATGCAACAACGCAAACCGAAAGCAACCCACGCAAGAATCACGACCGCAGCATTCGGGATGCGGCAACGCAGACCGAGGCACGCACGGAACACACCCACAATCTCAAAGACGTGGCAATCCAGACCGGGGACGTCCCATCGAATGACGACCCTTTCTTGCACATCAGTCCGTACGACCTTGCGATACCTATATGGGTGCCAGATCAACTACTCGGGTCAGTACAAGCACAGCCCTCATTCCGTTCACTATCCGCTCACATACATGATTGCGTACTCTCTAGCCGACTCCAAACGATTCTCGATAGCGTTGGCAAAAATAGGCGGTATGCACTTTCGCGTGTTCCTCGCGAGAGCACATGGTCGGTCCATGATGGTATCAGTAAGCTGAGCGTGGACGGCGAACCGATAACCATTATGGTGCTGGGTGCACTACGTGCGTTCAAACTCGACGTCGATGACGATGCAGACAAGTCGATCATGACCGTATCCGTGGATCTGCTGAGAGATGTGGATAGAGATACGCACCAGAAGCTTTGCGCGACGGAGTATCATTCTCATAGCACGAGCCTCGCCCCGCAACAGCCGGCACGTCATGGGAAAGGGGCGCAGGGCCTTGAACAGACGTATTTCACCGCGCAAGCCCACGGGAGAGCTTCTGGAAAGGTACGTTTACATCGTCCACGCAACGCCTGATTCTGACGCTCGTATTGTAGCCCTTACCCAACGTATATGATGCGACGACACAGGTCGGGACACGGGTCAACATGCGCAAGAGTTGTCTATGCGCGCTAGCCACAGATGACATAGTTCTCTTGGAGACGATAGCGGAGCTCCGAGCGTACGGTGGCGACGGAGCCTCTGTCACATTCACCCTGAAGACCGTGTCCGTTATAGCATTTTCCCCGCGTCCCGGCGACCCCTAGACAAATCCCAATACCACACAAGTTGCGTAGTCAAGTATTCCAAGTATTCTCGTTGTGCAATGGATGCTGGTCACCTTAGTCGTATACTCAATCGACGCCCGCGAGTACTACACCTACCCGATTCAATCACTATTATATTATCTCGGACATATGACTCAACGCATAGCATGATCCCTGTGATATGCTCCGCGTCCTGCTGCCATATGCTCCGTGCCCTGCTGCCACCGCACGCAACGTGCTCACTATCATAGCATTTTAATGAATCATACACCCGACACCGCCAACAACCGTAGTTCGTAGATGTTGCATCCAGGCACATACCCCCTCGATTATTTCGAACGTGCTTTCCTCTTTCGCCTATGCGCGCTATCCGGGCCCCTCCAATGCAAACAAATATTAGCGGCGCCGTGAAGCACAGCACTGGCACGCCCATATGTGCATGCCATTCAGAATCTGAACGGACGCGGCCAGGGAGTATGGGCCTATCGGCACTCGTCATTCGCGCGACGACACGACACTCCTCGCGGAATTCGTCTGCTTCGACTAACGGTATCCTCAAAGAACAGGATGATAGCGATCCTTAGTTCGGCATGCGAGAGAGTTGCGTGGACCTACATGGTCTCTCTCGAGCGGGCATAGCTCCTCGTCGCATTCGGAGCTTCCGATATGAATTACTTGCCTGCGAAACCGGGTACGGTGACATGCACTGCGCGAGCGTGACCAATATCATCAGCATAATATACCATGATGCTGCGTCGCGCCGTCCTAATGCATAGTACGTATAAAGATCGAACCGGCCAAGGGGAAGAGACATGGCATGTGCATGACGAAGCGAAGTCCCCGGGGTGTGATGCATGCGCCACCGTCGCAGCCTGATATGCACAAGCGCTGCGCATCAGGCCGATCGAGCGCATCTTCATATTTCGGGGAATAAGTTGACTTCTGACTTACCTGAGCTTAGCCTGATCATGTCCCGCTCGGATGCGAAGCCAATGCAACAACGTACCGTATCGAGACATTGCTCTGTTGTCGTGGGCGGCACACCCAAAAAACTGCCAGGGGTAGCCTGGCATGTGCGCCTTAAGCTTTCTAAGTGCGTTCCAGAGAGACACAATAACGGAGATACCCAAGCGTCCAGAGGGACCGAGAAGGGCGGAAGAGTAGAGGGCGGCGGACTCACGGGCTGAGAAAGGGCGAGTCGGGCGTCTACGGTCATCTCTAAATTAGGAAGCCAACCCCAGCGACGTCATCAGGCCTCAGGAGTCTGATCAAGCTCCAGAAGCGAACGGTCGTCTTGCATCTCGGCCTCGAACCAAGACGATCCCAATACTGCGCGCTATTCAGATCTCGGGCCTCATGAGCTCTGCTCAAGTACTACCCGCCATCAACTACTCCTAGGTAGCTTTTTCATGTCGCGGGCCTGCAGCAGTGTCGCCTCCACCGCCCTCCAGATCGGCCTCGACGCTCGACCGCGGAGCAGTGCAAATTCGGGCCTTTCGCCCTCCCCGACGCCGCGGACGTCGGCTGCGTGCCATCCACGCATCCTCGAGATGGTAGGCATGAATACAGAGGTATAGCGAGAACGGCCCGCGCAGCCCCTCTCCCTCTATCGTAAGTGCGAAAAGGTCAAGCAACACGCTCGCCTTGCTGGATATCTAATGAGGAGCACTCCCTTTGGGTTGGTGCGCTTCATAGGGACGACGCACGTGTAGTAGGAGCAACGGCGTCGCATACAAGGGACGCGGCGATGCGCGTGCTTCCCATGTTAAGACGGGGTCGGTTGCAATCACGTTGCTCTTTTAAGAGCAAGAGCAGACCCAGAAACCAGTGCGTACGTAGATGATATCTCCGAGGACTGACGAATTTGCAGACAAGTTGCGAGCAACGCAGCTTCTATGCCTGCGGCGCCGCTCCCCGTACGCTGTGGACAGAAGTGATATAATATCAATACTGGCTGAATACTGCCGACCTCTTGGCCTCATTGGCCACATAATCAGTACGTTGTATAAGGTGTGTGCCGCCCGCATCACCACTTGTATGCAAGTCTGAAACAATCGCATCACGTTCCGCGAGGCGTTCGACAAGCAACAAACATGCACAGCCGACCGACTTTGGAGAAACGGGGTATGGGTGGATGGGTTCCCGTGCATCAGAGGAAGACGCATGCAATATCGCCTTTGCGTAGAAACGTAGTGCGTACTTATTACTTCACGACGTGCTGACGGGCGTGTACATGCGCACGTACGAGCATCGGAAGCATACAAGAGCACATGCCCAGTTGCTGTACCACGCCCTACCCGCGCGCTTTCGAATCTGCACCGCATCGTAGCTCAGATGTCTACACGGACCGCGACACGATGATGAAAAGCGGCACAAAGTGCGCATATATCACAGTGGTAGCGCTTACTTCACATGTGGCAGCGGCGGTCGCGGCGTGTTTGGGTGCACCTGTGTCGAACTGCCGCGCGATCGCTCGCTCGTGTGGGCGCGCTCGTTCATTCGCATGGATACGCCGTGCCGGCACTGCACAACGCTTCGCGAGGCCGTATATACATGTCGAGGACCTATACGTGTATGTAGCAATATGTTGCAATATATTCGTGTAAGTGGCAACTCTATACGGTGTGTATGCCAGCGGCTGATCCACCCACTAGCTGTACTGCACAGGTATTCTTGACACCACTCGAAAATGCCTGGAACGCATCTTTTGGACATTCTACGATTTTTATGATACCAGTGTCCAATGCCTGTCAAAAAGGTAGATACTTCCCGATGTAAACGCACCTCAATGCAATCGCGACACAGGTAGATTCGCACCCCCAAGCTGAGCGTGAATGTTATCCCATCGGTCTCCGAGAAAAGGAGCTAGTAGCAACTGAGCATCCCCGTCATCGACACCCGGGAGATGGCGATTATAAAGCGGATACATAGAAGCAACGACAACAAGACAGGGCACAGTATGGATACAATAGATACCTAAGCAGATGAGAGAAGATCGAAACGAGCCGCAACCACTACGCAACATCATCGCCCACGGGAAGCCCCAACATGGCACGACCATCAAAAGAACGTCCACCTGCAAGACTCGAATCAATAAACGTCACTGATTGAGTGCCGACAGACAAGGCACAAACCTAATGGATGGGGGGACTACAGGACACCTTCGTAAGCGAAGCCCAGCCCCGGATACTGACGCAGACCAAGGTCAGTATGCAGCGCACGCGAAGAAACACAAGCCAAACATACGCGTACACTGTACTGGCTGGTCCCCACACATGCGGCGGGAACGGTACATTCTGCGGCATACGACATGGAAGCCTCGGTATGAGACGGGGCATAGACGTTCGCGGCTGGATAGGCTATTCCAAACAAGACGTCAGCAAAAGCCGCAGACAGACAAGTACATAAACGCGTACGATCGTATGTAGGGATTATGACCTCGGCGGGATCCACTCTCGCGTCGCGGAGCGCGGGACGATGTACTTGAAACGTACACCAGATATTAGCTTCCAGACACCGATCACACGGCACGATTCCGCTGCACTACTCACGCGGTCAATAACTCCCCCACAGGCCAAGAGCAAAATACTCACCTTCTTCTTGAAGAAGCGGCAAGGTACACACGCCACATGCGCACGCTGCACCTTGTCAGGCGGTGCACTCGCACAGTCAGAGGTCTGGTTCGATGGAAGGGGTTCGCCAACAGGACTCGTCCCGCGAGCTGTCACGGTCGACGCCTTGCGGCGTTTCCGCGGTGCACTGGCTGGAAATGTACAATCCAGTCCACGATACTGACAGTTCCCACAGGGCGACGTGCCCGTGCACTTGCCAAACGCGAGGAAGTCAACGCAAACACGCCTGGGCGCCCACACAAAACGAACACGAACCTTCGTCTTCATACGATGACAAGTATCGCATGCAACACGAACCCTGCTATAGGGTGGACCGCTTTGACGGGTGATGTGAGCTGAAAAGTATGCATTGGGGAATGGCGTCGATTGGCGCACGACGTCATGCGAACACCTTGAAGTATTATACTCACCTACCCCTCCGCTAGAAGATTCAGGACACGGAGATGCCCCCCGGGGAGAACGTGGATCGACAGACTGCTTTAAAGATTAGCTTGTACCGAGACCAACAGAGGATACTGGCAACGTACCGCCGGCTGCACCTCCGCATCCACGTCCTGTACGACCAACCAGGACACCAGAGACCGATGGAACGTAGAACGTCCACCACACCCTGGGAGCGAGCCCGGTTGATACCCGTCATACTCATCTCCCCAATCAACATCCCATGGAACAACGGCCAGCTCAGACGACAGGGCGGGAGCGTACATGGAGAGGGGGAGGGGGGAGGTGCTCGGGCGAGAGCGAGGGAAATAGAATAATGGAACGCTCGCTCACGAATGCCATTATATGTGCCGGCAAAACCTACCCCGTTTCACGATCCATCAAACGACAAATCCACCACGTTACATACGTGCTCTTATTAATCACATATGCGCTTCGTTAGTACGTACGCGAGGCTCGCTTGATGCCCGCAGCGGCTGCTCGGCGGCCCGAGGAATCCACCAACCGAGACAGTGTGCAGTGAACGGTGCAGGCGTACTGAGCGACTCGAATATGGCAACGCACTTTGCTGTAGCCACCCTGGATGTCGGTGACGCCGCCATGCTAGCTACATGCTTCGTGGGACGTCCGAGTCGCTACCGGCCGCCCCAAGGAGATGCCATTATGCACAGATCCACGCCAGCATCGACTATAAGGTGACACGTGGATCAAGGGTTAACTCGACACCGACATATGAAAACACCATAGGACTCACCAAGTGCAATACCAGCGAGCCATGACCTGCCCGTTCGATGCCAACGGAGCGCACACCCACGACAAAACGTTCCGGCAAGAGACAAAGTGCGGCAAAGCGGAGGAGGAAGACCAGAACAAGCCGCAGCTCATTCCCGTTTTGCCGGCACGACGAAGCAGTCACAACAGTGACGCTACCACGTGGCAGATCGGGCATCCCAATCGGCACGCGGCCCGATCGGTATTGGTACGCCACAAGGACGAAACGAGGAGGCACCAGGGTACAACAAGCTGACAACAAAGCACACCAGGCGCGGAGCTTTAATATGCCCCTGATACCAACGCCCACAACGCCCGGCCACAACAAGACGCAACCGACGCGCCCACAGATCACTCCCGACGGGCCGCGGCTGTTGCACGAGGAAGCGCATACCGGCTGCCTCAGCTTACGCGTGGAGACAAACCGACCGGACATCCAGACGTCAGAAGTAACACATACCAACCCGAGACAGTGAACACACACGCAGTATACATTACAGGTCAAGGAGAATATAATAATAGGCGGCTATACACGCCGGCCAGCGACATATAACAGCAGAACATAACGCCATAAATACATACATAAGACGCTCCACAAGGGAAACGAGACCAAGCCAATCCGTAATTCGTCCACACCGTACAGCTCGCCGATTGATGGATGTGCATCCCGACGACAACTTAACGCCGACCCCTCGTGGATACGCTCTTCCGAGCACGACGAGACGGACTCCCACGACCCTGATGACCATCAGAACGATTAACTATGAGCAGAAAAGACGCTCCCCACCACACCGACATGCTTGCGCTTTACACCAGGCGATCCTCCCGATGCCTTGGTCTCCGAATACGAGTCGGAACTTGACGACATGCTCACCGAAGTGAGGGAACTCGACGCCGGTGTCGACAGAGAAGACGCTTCAGAGTTAACGCCTCCGCCCCCGAACTCGTCCCCGCTGAGGTGCAGGACGTCATCATCGTCAATCAGAGCGTATGATGAATCGAGCGTCAAATCAACATCCATCGGAATCGAAGTGACCTCTGAACGTATATTAGTGTGAAGCATGGGCGGAAAGGATGGAAACGTACCCTCGAAGCCGGATGCCATAGAACGAGAATCATCGTGATCATCCTGAGTATCGGGAGAATCTTCACGCTCGGAATCGCCGGTGTCGGGGGTCGACCGTGGGACGGGAACCGGAGAGCGAGGAGTAGATGAGCGGGATGCCGATGGCGGAACGGAAACAGGACGAGGGAGGGGCGGAGTGGGCGCTGGCACAGCGACGCGGGCAACAGGTGATCTAGGCTGTGAACCCGCGACGTTCATTCCTGTAGCATGGACTGTCACTACCCGAACACGATCTCATAACGCAAATGACGTACCATCAATGGCCTCGCCGTCCATGAGCGACGGCCGCAACGCTCGATCGACAACGGGAACAGAAAAGTCGACCGAAGATAGATTGGTTCCGCCACCCAACACCCGCACGATCTCCAAAGGCACCAGCTGGGTAGCCCAGGCACGTCCCAACGTGAATGACGCAGTGAACGTGAAGAGCACCACATCGCCCTTGTACAGCACGCTAGGGGTACACTTGCGAATATCCCGCAACAAACCCTTCTCCAGAGCCAAGACAGAGGGCCGATCCGGGTTCGCCAGGTACCACCGCGACCGCCGACTCGCCTCGACAACCCAAGGATGAAGCTCCGCGCGAGGCATGTTCCGCGCGGCCCCGTCTCCTATGTTGATAAACATCGGAGAGCGGACCCAGTAACGCTGCATGAACTCGGGGTTGTTGCCAGACTGGTATTCCCGACGGGGTAGGCCATCGGCGTTGAAACCAGGGCACCCCTGAATATACTCCTCCAAATCCTGTCAAAGAAACACCAGTTAGTCGCAACGGAGACGGCGTATCACGACGACGCACAAGCTGTAACTCGAACAAGCTCTTATCCACGGTAGTGTCCATGGCATAGGCGTAGTTGCACTTATAATTAGCGTACCGCTCCCTGAAAGGCTGCTCGTCAGCGCTTGAGCACGAGAAGCAAACGACTTAAACCTACACTCGATCCCAGGGCAAACCCGCAGGAGGGCGATTCTTATCCAGTACGAGATTTCCCGTCTCGTAATCATCGGCACAGCTAAAGACTGCCGCATAGCTGAACACAGCCGGCTGGTCTGTCCCCGACCGTAACATCTGTACAACGAATTAGCTGCGCCGTCAACAGAGAAGCCACGATACGCACTGTCCACCGGGAAGGACCTTGCATGCGAGCCTCTACGAGAGGATGATCACCGCGCAGGGACCGGACAGCATCCACAAACGGAATGTCCGTAGGGCGCAGTGGGGTCTTCTTCCAGTGGTCAAGAGCAGCGATAGTCTCGGCATTCATGGCGGCGTTCATGATTGCAAATTCGATGAGGGCTGGGACGAGGGTAAAAAAAGGGAAAGGTATAGAATGCCTCTGGAACACCAAGCAGTGACCATATATACGCCCGGTCAGTGAGCATATCGCAGTCGACGTACTCACTCGGAAAGGGCCGTCGGAACACCCACCCCAGACACAAAAAACGAGGAAACCATGCAAAAGCAGTAGCGCACTGGAAACACGGGCACAGAGCATGCGCATACCGGACATAAATTCGGGAGAGTGAAACCGGACGGAACCAGGGAGAACGGAGCAAGCGAGGGAGACCGAGGACGAAGAGGAGGACGAGGAGGAGGACGAGGAGGCATCTGCAACCGAAGCGTTGAGCGTCTACCTCGTTCCCGCGCACAGCGCCTGGCGATTTGGCGATTGACCCAGATGCTGCCCGATTGGGACATATTTGACGAGATTTACGCCACTGCCAATGCCGTATCCGGCTGGTTCAGAACGACAGGTCAATATTTGGGTACCAAAACGAACGGCATCTCCCGGTCTTACAGGATTACTCACCGCTGCCACAAGTCAGATGTAACTCCCAAACTGCTCGACAAAACGCAAAAGCCGGTATACGCTGAAGTCCAAAAACACGCACAGACCGCAACGATTACGCATTGGTAGTGTACCCGCCTCAGAAACACATCCACGCCTTAACATAATATCGCACAGCAGATGCATCAGCAAGGACCGCTTACGCTGACAAGTGTCGCCTGTAACACCCGCACACCGCGCGATTTTCGACTGCACGTTTGCATATCACGTACCGGAGCGGATCTCCAGCCAACGGCGCTAGAGATGAAACAAGCTCAGACTACGAGGAGAACGTCACTGTACGCGCGCCGGTCGAGCGACGTTGCACAGTACCCGAGATCGCAGAAGCGCGGGGTACAAGGCAGCCGAACCACTCACTCGGATGCGACACGCATGCACACCCCACTCGTATCAAAGGGTGTTCTGCCAATGCCAACGTACAACAACGCGTTGCACGGCGCCATCCCGAACAATCGCTCATCGTGTATCTCCCTGGTCTGATATCAGCTAATCCCGGCATGGTAGAAGGCTCCATTCGCCCGCCGCCGCTATAGCCCCACAACGACGACTGGGAATACCAGTACATCCCCCGTACGCCAGCTTCCACCCACAGACATCGACACCGAACGCCGCCACTCCGTCCGCAACCCGTACGCTCGCCCTTACTCGTAGTCGCGCAACGCCGCGCCCTCCTCTAATCACCGTACCAGTCATCTAGACTTGCTACGCAGTCATTGCCGACGCGGACGACCATCACGCGACAACGCGAACACCCAATGCCATCGACGCGAACCATGTCAAACAGAAGGGTACGAGCTGCTGCCACCCACACGCGTCTACGCTCACTCAGTATCACGCACAGACGCGACCGGGAACTCGCCTTCAATACATCAACACCTCCCCAATTTCCATTACGCACTGGAATATGTCCATCCGGGACGGTCTGCGTGAGGTGCGCTGGAAATACTCAAGTACCGCGGACACAACCTTACCGTCCTTTTAGCGTTCCATTCGGTACGCCGTTCGCGCGCTCCTCTACCCCGTGTACGGCGGAAGCCCGCGGATAGTCTATCTACCTTTGTCCCCCTCGTACGATTTCGAGCCAGGCACACCGATCTGGACAGAAGACATCGATGTGAGAAGATGGTTCCCGTCCGGCTGGAAGGAAACCGTCTTGTCCAACATCGCTGGAATCGACCACTCGCTGCGCAACAACTTCTCAGTCTTCACCGCCCGCGACGTCCGCCACGCACTCCCAAACGAGTGCATGCGCACTCTAGGGAGCCCGGACGTCAAGGGGAACGTGGTGGTCATACGCAGAGGACGACGCCAGACGCTCCAGGTGACACACATGCACCCAAGCGAGCGTTCACTTGTAGACATTCTGGTCACCCGGTGCGTCGCCGTTGCTTGCTACAGTGCGACCCATATCTTACCAACAGCGGTCAGATGGTTCGCATCGGAAACCGAGGACGAGAACACTGAAGACGGGATCGACCCATCACCCGCCGAAACCGAGAGCGGCGACGGGGCGTAAGGCAATAGTACGTTGTCGTGGATTGTATATGCATTATCGGACGATGCAGCGCTGTGCGCAACGCATTCATCTATGTATCACTGCCTCCAACATGTACCGCTGCCTCAAATATGTACCACTGCCTATGTAGTGCTGTCTATGTATCGCTGCCACAGACATGTTTCGAGAACGTATACCATACACAGGACTGAATCAGTGACCCATTCCGCAAAAAAATCGACATCCCCCGCGACATCCCTCATGAACAGGAAAAACCGCGCCCGCGCCACGCGCAGCTGCCCCCGAGACGTTAAGATGACACACACAACCGGCCGCGGTACGTCCCGAAAGTATATGCCGAGGAAGAACTGCGCCATGATGTGGGGCCGGCACACGGACCGAGCGCAGCTACCCCAATGATTAGCGGAACACAATTATTCATCGGAGTCAATCTCACCTACCCGAACAACGTGGGAGAATCCGGGCAGGGTACCGAACGATCACTGCACTGCCCCGAGTACACGCCCCCACCAACCACCTGAATACGCCGGAATGTACCGAACAGCCGCGGCAGGCTTCGAAAGGGGACTGCTCAACGGGCGGATCTGCGTCCCAAGCATATGCAGTACCCCAACATCAGCTCGCCTGGAATGACGCCTCGGCGACACGTTCGCCAGCACCGGGACAGCGGAATCGACAAACGCGCCCGTCCAACAAGCTACCGACAAATGCGATATATGACAAACACCGTACATGCGAGGTGAGAGCGCCAATCCGAACATGAATCGCAGGATTACAGCTAATGTGTAATAGCGCCGACCGCACGCTAGAAGACGGAATCGTCGATATATGAGCCACGCATGCGCAGGGCAATACGATCAGCTAACGAGCCGAGCGCTGGCACTAAACGGCGCCCGACGGCGCCGGACGATGCGAGGTACGCTCACGTCAAGCTGCTCCACTCGAGCGTGTTCATGGAATTCAGAAACTAGCCATGTGAGGGCGCTGGCGGAATCCTGGCCCTGCGGGAGCGTTGGCTTGATAGACGGCGGATATTCCACGATGAACACGGTACGTGGCTAAATGTTCCTGGCCTAGACACAGCACCGTCCGAGCCCCCGAGGTGACATGACTTACCACCCGAACGCAACAGCGCCAGCGTGAGCCGGAGACATCAGACATACCCTCGCGAGTCGCATACGAGCACTGAACACCCCAAAATGCATCAATCGATGCATCGTCGACTCGCAGCACCCGGAACGAGCCACATGCAAGCAGGCTCGCAGCACCACGTACGTACCGCTACATGCGCTGTGCATACCACGAGCCTAACGACACATTGACGGCCGTGCCAAGACGGTCCCTTCGAAGAGGTAATGCAATGCACGCCGAAATCGGCGCTATCACGCCCAACAAATCCTTCCCGCAAACCCACACACAATTCCGAGGGGAGCACGGTAACAAATGAAAGAAGTGAAAAGGCAAGACATACAATGTGTCGTATCCGTCCCATTACGGCATCATACACCGATCTGTCTTTCGAAACCACAATAGGGAACGGCGACATCGACACCGCCCAACGGACACTTAGAGCCGACGCCGTGTACGTACGTACTCCTAGTAGGTATACCTTTTCTTGACAAACACGGCGTACGCAGACGCGCCAGCAACATCATACTGATTCTTACCAAAGTAGCCGCCGCGACAGGCCGCCGGCGCACCCAACACGCGTGATTGGCAAAGCCCTTAGCCAAAGCATCGCACGGACATTACTCGCGACGCGTACCGCGCCGTCGATGATGCGAACGAAGAAACTTCATCTGAGATGAGCACGTCAAGCAGCGCCGAACGACAGGTCCGATGCAACCGACCGCAATATGCGACTCGTCCCCAATTCGGGGGCCAAAGGGCGCGAAGATGCAAGCAGCAGCACAACACAACGGGGCGTATGCGCACCCACCGCCCTCTGCCCTGCCCGCCTCGCATATATAAGACAACGCGCCCCCGTGCCACGGTCTCCCTACCACACACTGACCATCACATCGAACTCGCCTCTATCCCACACTCACCACCCGCTCACCCCACACATACACTAAACGCTCAACGATGGCCACCCCCCTGAACCCTGCCAACAACGTCCCATTCACTGTCTTCAAGAGAGGTATGTTTGCTCGCCGCCTTAAGCATACAGCGCGACCAGCTAACAGTTGTCCCACCGGACGACTCACAGAACATAATGGGTAAGCGTGGTCGTACAGTCAAGATACACATTATCACTAACAAGAGCATGCGTGATAGCGTCGCGCACACCGAACCCTTCAACCCAGGAAAGGTACGCGACCGTTTTTCCAAACTACGACACGCTAACCCAACTATATTCCAAAACGCAGGTCTCCGCAACGCTATTCAGAGTATGTCCGCGCACGACGCAATGCATATCCAACCAAACTCATGTATACTCTTAGCTTTCATTCGGGCTCAGCTTCCGAGTCGGGGGTCTTCAGAGGCAAGTAGACCAAGTTGCATGTCCCAGCGAAGTAATAACTGACCCAAATATTTAACACAGAATCGCCTCCGCAATCACCCATGGAGTGCAGGCGGCAATGTCATCGCACGACATCCAGGTAGGTGTCGATGGTCTCCATCGGCGGTCCGCGGATATAAGCTGAAGTCTACTCGACTTGTGATGCCTGCAGGAACTGGCAGCCTTGACGGCAGCGAACTTCAACACCCACCACCCGCAGTACAACATACTCGCGGGCCGATTGGTGGCGGCGAACATCCACAAGGTTGTCCCAATAAGACGCTTCAGCGACAACGTGGAGCGCATTGTTGCAGGTATGATGCTCGTGTTACATTGCATCGTCTTCTCAGCGTATCTGACTCCCGCGAAGAGCATCCCGGCCTACTCGACGAAACTTTCGTGGCGAACGCGCGCCGCTACGGCGAACAACTAGACAACATGCTGATGCAAGACAGAGACTTCGGCATGCCATAGTACGTCCTATATTGATGTGTCCTCGATAAATCGCACGAAAGATAACGACTATTTATCACAGCCCGTGCATCAAGCTAATGGAGCAATCATACCTGCTTCGCGTTGGTGACGCCATACTCGAACGTCCCCAGCACGCGTACATGCGGGTAGCCCTCGCTCTCAACGCCAACGACATCAATGCAATAGAAGAGACATACAATATGTTGTCTCGTAGGGCCTATACGCACGCCAGCCCAACGATGTTCAACGCGGGGCTCTCAGATCAGGCCCTGATCTCGTGCTTCGTACAGTCCGCCGAGTACACGAGCACCCCGGACGCCATCAAAGGTATGATGCAGGCCTCGGAGGCTTTCCTGAAGAACAGCGGCATCGGCATCGGATTAGACAAAGTCCCGGCCTACCGGTAAGCATTCACCGCAATTGGGTCGAACACGTCTCACGCCGAGCCACAGCCCCGACGCGAACCCCCCGCAGCCAGGCGTGATAGCGCTGCTCAACATGTATCAACAAGTCGCGGAGTTCACAACGGACGCGAGGAGCAAGCGCCCGTCTGCAGCCACGGCCGTTATACCGATATGGCACGCCGACGTCACCAAGGTCATCAACATCAGACGAGGGAACGTTCTCGGCCAAGCCCCCCTCAGGGACATCTACCCAGCGCTCTGGATTGCAGACTTGTTGTGAGTATATAGGCCGGAACCTCCTCGCATCGTCCAGCTCTGGACTCACGTTATCAATATAGCATGAGACGTGTCCAGGAGAACGTCTACTGGTCGCTGTTCGACCCAGCCGATGCCCCACAACTGGCAGAACTCTACGGTGCTGCGTTTGAAGCTGAGTACACTCAGCTCGAACAGTCGAACATACAGCGCGTAACGGTACTCGCGCGCTCGCTCTTCTATCAAATCGTGGTGATGCAGATCCGCAGCGGCACCCCGTACATCATGTACGCGGACGCAATAAATGGTAAGTTTGCTGCATGCTGAGTAATGCCCGCGACACCTACTTATCACGCGCATAGCCAAGAACAACCAAAGCCACCTCGGGACCATCCGCGCGACAAACCTCTGCACGGAAATAGTGCAGTTCAGTTCCAGAACCCGCACCCCCGTATGCGCGCTGTCGTCGCTATCGCTTCCCGCATTCGTATCCAGCGACGACCATACCTTCGACTTCGACGCTCTTCACCACGCAACAAAGGTCGCGACGCGCTGCACGGACCGGGTTCTCGACATCAACGACTACCCCTCTCCTGAAGCCCGTGCGTCGGCAGTGGAGACTCGCGCAATCGGGGTCGGTGTGCAAGGCCTCGCCGACGTCTTCCGGATGATGGGCATCCCGTACGGATCAGATGAAGCTCGACGACTCAACGTCAGCATATTCGAGACCATCTATCACGGTGCCCTCGAGGAGAGCTCCGAGATGGCCGAACGATTCGGGCCCTTCCCAGCGTGGAACAGATCCCCCGCGTCTCAAGGGGTGCTTCAATGCGATATGTGGAACTGCACGCCATCCGATCGGTACGACTTCGACGCACTCCGGGCCCGTATCGCGAAACACGGCCTTCGAAACTCCATGCTCACCGCCGTTATGCCGACCTCGTCGACGTCTCAACTCCTCGGCAACAACGACTCCGTGGAGCCGTATGTCAGGTGCGTCTCCGCGGTGCGTACAACGCTCACCAGTCTTACCCTGATATGCCGCATACAGTAACATCTATACCCGACGCGCCCTAGGGGGCGAATACCACATCATCTGCCCGCATCTCGTTCAAGAGCTCGAGCGGCGTGGCCTTTGGACGCCTCATATGCGAAGGCAGATCATAGACGCACGAGGCGAGCTTCACACTGGAATAATCGTCATACGCAAACACTAATTCGATCATATAGGCTCGGTCCAGAACATCACCACTATCCCGGACCGCCTCAAAGCCGTTTACCGCACCGCATGGGAAATGCCCCAGCGATACACCGTCATCATGGCAGCCGACAGGGGACCATACATCGACCAGTCCCAGAGCATGAGCTTGTACATGCGTAACCCCACGGCGGCAGCCCTCGTACGTTAGTCCCCACCTCAGCCAAACCAGCGACTGACGGCTAGCACAAACAGTACACAGCGCACATGTACTCATGGCAAGCTGGACTCAAGACAGGGATGTACTACCTCCGGACGACCGCGCCGACGTATGCAATGCAGCCAGGCGATCCCCGCCCTAACGGGTACGAGAGCTCTAGCGACTCCAGCGACTCCGACTCCGATGACAACAACGACGGCAACGGCAACGACAACGACAACGACGACAACAACATCGGCGACGACGCGGCCGACGCGGGCAACGCCGACAACAACAACGACGACGACAACGGCTTGGACTCCGACTCCGGCGACTCCAACAGCGCGCGCGCGCGCGAGTGCATCACCACGGACGAGGTGCCTGCCCCGATCGCCTGTCTCGCATGCACGGCCTGAGGGACGAATGTACTCGTTGAGCTAACTCGGCGCACGGCTCGCCGCGTATCCCCGCACCTATACCATACAATCACATCGCACACGTCATCAATGTACACTGGTAGCGCATCCGATAGAACCATAATGATATCGCGACACTGCAGACCATCACCATAAAATGCGCCTGCACAGGATGATATGTAAGATCTAGGAGAGACCACACACTGGCACACTTACCAGCGTCACAAGCAACGATCTCCCACGCGTTATAGGCGCACGCGGCACCGCGCAAGATCCGCAGCCAGTCGGCGAACACCAGGGGACGCCCTTGACCAGCATCATCAACCGAGGCGATCACGCGAGGCAACCAAGCGCCACCGGAACAGGTCGAAGGTAACAAAGGTGAGTACATTCCAATACATAGAGTCGGTATCTATAAACCAAGTGCATTATGTAGGTAACAACATACTCGGAAGGAGGTCGTGGTATTCAAGTCGGAACAGAGTAGGTGACGCGATACCATACACGCCACATAGGCCGCTCACGGGTGTTCTACAGTGATACCCCAACAGACAGGCCGTCGACCATACCGAGGCGATGCCGCCACAGCGCGAGCTCGCGCGAACGGACACTCACGCCCGCACACCCGGCCATCCTATCCCGGTGGCCCGCGCAACGTTGTACTGTCGAGTGGTATCCTCGTCGAGCTGACGTAGCCGTGCTAACTCCGTCCTCAGCTCCTCTGAGGCTCGCACAGTAATCTTCTCCGGCGAGAACGGGCGAAATATCACGAGGCCGTCTAAGCTGCGCACGCGCGACAACATCACATACACGCCCTGCAGGCTCTGTGCACTAGCAATA